TCTGTAGACGAATGTCACGACGTGGTGACAATGGTTGAAGCTGATGCGTCACTCGTCTCATAGGCAGCGGATACTGTAGTGGTATGCCGACATTGTCGACGAATTGTGGCGTTGCATTCAATGACATTGGAAAGAATTTTGGAGCTGTTACGGTAGGATCGTTTTGTGTGGGGCGGCTAGTGACGCCTGGTAGGTTAACCACGGTAGAGAGCGAGCTACTGCGAGGGTAAAAATTCGGTGTTCGTGTTTGGTAGGCACTTCCTCCGCGATAATATGTAGTTACGGGTACAGCTCCACCTCGACTGCTTGTTACAATGTTTGAATTGCTTCTCCATGCGTAATAGCTGGCTCCTGTAACACTCCTGTCTTACTGTAGGTGAACTGTAGGATTTACTAGCCTATGTCTTACTGTAGGGTTACGGTAGGTTTGGCCGGCACTTTTGCCCAGGGCATTGCAAGTAAAATCTATCGCCTTCGTAGTATGGAGATCAAGGGACGTAATCAAATCTTCGAATCCCTAATCGGGCGCTTTTGTGTCAATGAGTAAGGTGCCGTTGCCCGATCGGGCGCCAGTTTGTTACGGTAGCACACCGACCAGGAATCAGGAGATTGATAAATTGCCCCACAAGTCAATAGGGTCGTCCTCACTGTTCATTTCTTCTCTTCCAGGTGAACGAAATGGCATACAGGAGTCCCGGACAACTGCCACAAAACAGACATTTTTGCATCTCGTAGTTTGTAACAGCTGTCCGCGCAGGAGAACGTTGTACGCACCGCCAGTATTCGAGATTTGTGCTTTACATATTGCATGCTATATTCGTCGCGATGTTGAAACCCCTTCCCTTGAAATTTTTAGAGTCAAAAATACCCAAAGAAATTGCACGCGATGTAATTCTTTGCCTGCGGTAGGCCTTCTGTTTTTGTCTAGCTACCCCTGCTACAGTCCCTACCGTAATTGGCACGACCAATCTGACTAAAACCTGAACGTACCTCCTCTAGGTGCTGACGAATTCCTTATCTGATATCCTGTACTGCAACCACCGCGACCTGCTTGAAATCCTCCTCCACGAGCGTTTGGTGAACTTGTGCCACGAGATGAATAAGAGGTGAACACGGTCCCGCCACGATCATGACATCGTGTGGAGCTATTAGCTACGACGATTTGTGGCACGTCATTGGTGATGACCAGACGCCGTGACGATGCCCATGTCATTGTGCCACTGCTGCCTCCACCGTTGGTACTAGTGGCACCACCACCTCTTGACGGTGGTTGTGATGACATCCTATAATGGCAGCTGGGAGTGTTGAGTAGTGAGTCGACGATGCGAACTTGCAAATCCAGCTGGGGAGGAGGGTGAGAAGTTTGAAAATGAGGCAAACTTCATTTCGAATGGGTATTTTAAGTAGCGGGAAACTTATCATGAGGGTGATAAGAGAAGTGGATTGTTGATAATGCAAAGAAGGGTTTATTAGGTAGAATATGTCTAGAAATCGCTGTATGCAGCTCTAATAATGATTCAGAATTTGTTTCTTGATCAGTTTTTATATCTAAGGGATGTACTCGAATCTTGACTTTTGAGTGCTAGAATTCAAAATTTTTAAAAGCGCAAGAACTACTTTTAGTCACTCTTGCTGATCCTTTCTAATTATTACTCCTCCTGCTCCTTAGCGTTTTTCTTTTAAAGAGCGCTTACAAGGAGACTTGGAAGACGTAAAGACTTGGAGTGGGGG